AGATCATCAAAAATCAATTCACTTTTTTTTCGGCAAATAAAATATTTTAACTCACGTTTTAATAGGGTCTCAAACGGATGAGTTTGAAACTCATCCGTTTGAGACACCGTTTTAGGAGAGTTGGATATTTTATTTAGATTGTTCAATCTGCATTCTTTAAAGTTTAAACCCTTATCTGAATTTGTAATGTGAGATCATCAAAAATCAATTCATTATAATATTTTTACTCACGTTTTAACTCAAAAATCAATTCATTATAATATGTTAACTCATGTTTTAACAGGGCCTCAAACAGATGAGTTTGAAACTCATCCGTTTGAGACCCTGTTAAAACAACAACAAGTGAATCTATTTTTAGGAGAGTTGCATATTTTATTTAGATTGTTCAATCAGCATTCTTTAAAGTTTAAACCATTATTTGAATTTGTAATGTGAGATCATCGAAAATCAATTCACTTTTTTTTCGACAAATAAAATATTTTAACTCACATTTTAATAGAGCCTCAAAGTTAAACGGGCCTTGCTTGCCTTTTCTAGAGTCTTCTTTTTCGTTACGTAGAAAAAGTCTCTTTTGGGATATTATGTTGAAATTTTTGAAACTTATTTTGGACGCCTATTGGACTTGGTACAGTGAGATCACAAACGGAAATATTGCTTTAATCTGTCATAATTTAAGGAAACAATAATTCTTCAATTGAAATTGTTCCTATCGTTGATTTTTGAACCATAAATCGTTGGTCGTAATAATTTCTTTGATGGACGACCCACCGTCAATCTATTTTGGAATTTTAAACAATTCTCAGATTTGCTAATTTTTTTATTTGTAAATTCAATTTATTATTACATATTATAATGAGAATCAAGCCTTACATTTCAGCCAGGCAAATTTACATTGACATTATTTTGATATAAAAGTAATGGAAACAATGGTATTGCAACATAAGTTGCATAATGTGTGGCTGGATGACAACAATATCAACTAGAAAAATAAACTTGAATTATATATAACAATTAATTCGGCAGGAATTCAACGTTGGTTGAATTTTTAATTAATTTGGTAAGGAACGAATCATCAAACTACTTGTCTTTAGTGTTCCCTTTGCCGTTTGGTAAGTGCTTCTTCCGAGGCATTTATTTAAATTTTTGAATCCTTGGACCCCCATTTGACTTGGAATTGTGAGATCATCATAAGTCAATTCGCTCAGTTACAATTCTGTCGGCGTCGGCGCATAAAACATTTTATGTCACGTTTTACCAGGGCAGCATACCACATATCAATTTAATCTATGATGTCATTATTTGAGGAGACATGAATTATCTAATTAATATTGTTAGCATTGTTGATTTTTTAACCGTTAATCTTTGTCATATCAACTTGCTATCGTGGACAACCCACAAATCACAACCAATCATTTTTGGTTTTGTTTTAACAATTCTCAGGACACCAGAAATAGAATAACTCTATTTACTGTTGGTTGAATTTTAAATCAGTTTGACCGTATTGAACGGATTATTATTTGAAATTTTGAGACTTTGTCGGCTTAAAGACAATCGTAAATTGAGTCATTAGTCCTGCAACCGCAACCTAAAATGGTTTGTTAGTGGACGAATTTGTTAATATTTCCTCAGCTCTTGTTGACCCGACAGGGAACCGGGCATGAAGTCCAGGACAGCAAGGTTTGCTCCTCGGTTGGAATACTGCTAGTTTACCGGGTTTACTTGTTCTATGTATTATTCGGAGCATATTGTGCCCTCTTTGTCTACTGCCTAGATCAAATTATGAAGTGACCACGTAGAATATATGACCTGACCACGCACCAAAACCTTGGTCATGCCTACTGCCTATATCCTAATGATGATTGTTGACAGATACAATCTTGTAATTCCGATCCCAACGATCGAAATGTCAAAGTGAGTCTGCAGATCCTTTACCGAAAAGTCGGCCAGTATTCAAGGTTGAAGGATCAAGTCAGCCAGTATTTCGAACTGGTCATTCTTGAGAAGTGTTCACTGACCAATCCAACAATCAATCCTAATATTACTACTACTAGAATATCAGAACTAAGCTCGATCCCAATGAGTTGTTTATATTTGCTATTAGCTACGCTGAACCGATCAGTCTACAATCTACATCTGTTCAGCTGCCGAGTATGACACCGACATGACACTTTACACTTTTGTAACATCTGTTTAGTCTCTCCTCACAGCCCTCCTTGAAAGTTTGACCTTGTCTGACCCGTCAACCTGCTGATAGCACCGTGCTATTAAGTACCAATAACTTCAAGCCTCAGCCACTCCTACTCCATTGTACCTTAGTCTTTGTGCCGCGAATCATCACGGCGTTGTTATTATCATTTTCACCGGTCTTTGTCATTTTCATTTCTAAAAGTTTTAGTCATTTACTTGTTAGACGACGACCCAGTCTGAAGTTGGACAAATGAACAGGCTGGTCTGTAACGCTCAAGTAACATTACATTTAATCTCGGCCAGTCCAGGACCTTTATCCACTGTGTGACCAGTCACTGGCTTTCCCCTTCATCTAATCATTATTCTTGAAATCGGTTTAGGGGATTTATTACTGTTATTGCTGGAACCGGTATTTTACGAATTTTCATTAAATGGTTATTAGTGTATTATTCAGTCAGTCCTTCTGTCTATTTATTTCCGGTCTGGGTTCAGACTTGTGCTCTGCACTTCACAGCATGTGTCACTCCGTGCAGCATGCTCCATTATAACGTTATATTTTAAGGGCATTTAACCAGGACTTATTATGTATTTATGTTAGTCGTTCTGATATCTGGAGTAAGTCTTACCTGACGGCCGGTTATTTCAAAGGATCTGGTTATTCTTTATAGATAGGCTCAGGAGGTGAAGAAGGAAGATATCATCTACTATTTAGATCACTTAACATTCACGTCATTCCCTTGTGTATCCACCCCACTAGATAATGTATTTCTTCGTTTTGCTCGTAGCGCTCCAAAAGACATCATGTCCTCTGCATTAAAAAGTAGCACATTTTTTGTCTGATAATCGCCATCATTCCAAATTTTGTGTCTATGCCCTCAATTGTAATATTACTAATATATTTGCTCAAAATCCCAGGATCTTCTCCTTTCTCAAGTGGTAACTTTGACCTTAAATCTTGTCATGCGCCCGGTGAATGGCTAATATTTCAATGCTCCTTTGTTTTACATATGTTCTCCAGCCGTGAATTCACAATACGATTAGACAGACCCCAGCTACTCTATCTCCGAAAATCTAATTTTCATTATTTAGTACACCCAATTAATGAGATTCCAATCGTACCACATTTCAATTACCGATCTATCAAGTTCTCGTATCATGTTCTCTTTTATAATGCTGATCCTCATCCTTTTGATGTTGTGACTCGTTTCTCCAACGGACTTTTGTTTTTCATTATAGCATACCTTCTTGAGAAGTAGCAAATGAATTGTGGATGCCAAATGTGCTGTGATTTGGGTTTGCCACAATTACTTGTTTCTTCATGCGGGGGACTTACTTTGTTTTCGAGAGTTCAGAAGATTACCAACACTTCAACCCGGCCGTTTATCAAATGCCGTTAATTCTTTGTAAACTTACTCGGATTTACCATCACAATCTCCAATAATTTATCCGATATTTTCTTTAGACAGTGAGGACTAATGTTCATTTGGCTCTTTAGTCCGCCGAACATTTCTCTTAGCATGATCTGTTACCATTTCTCCAGTCTCGTCCCCTGCATTATAATATTCCATGAAGTCGTTATTTATTTAATGTTATGATATTCAAGAAGTTACAATATTTAAAGATTTTAGTATAGTCATGTAAAGGAATATAATGTGCATGACTATGCGCATGAAACATGCATACATTAGCCCTGCGTGGGAAACGTGCAGTTAAATTTAACCAATATTATTATGCGCAGCACAGTCAAATGTAACCAATATTTTTATGCACAGTATGGTTATTTGTCTACCGGAGGACCTCAACATTATAACAGGTATCTATCACGTGGTCTTAATGTTACGTTACCTTTCTTTTTAGATTAGGATTTAGATTGTTATTTTATGCAGTTTAATTTCACTAAAAGTCACCTCTTTATATAGACTGCTGAGTCGTGCTAAAATTCAACCACTCAATTTTAATAAATTTTGCCGCGTGATGAACTATTATGATTCTTCTGTAACTAGAATCATCCAGATGTACGGTCTCGGTAAATAAATGAAACGATCCAAAAAATAATTGTTGAAATCCAATTAAGTGTCGCATCTGTTCGTTTGAAGTTCGGTAACAATTAGGAACAAATAAATATTTGCACTCTCCCGGAATCTAACCCCGAACCATTTCCCATCCTCGACATACTCCAACTGGCCTCATTTAGATTTAATCGTCATGAGGTTAAAGTTTGAATTCAATGAAAATACCCAAAATAGCAAAATAACTTAATTTAATGCTATCATGCATCCAGAGGCAACATGCACAAAAAATCCCTAAAGCCACCCGCACATGACATAGCTATAGGTCTGAGTTATATGTGTCTAAAAATCTTGAATACGACATAACTGCGGCTGCTGACGTGCGAGTCTCTCTATTTCTAGGGTGCATGATGAGCTAAAAGGAGTTAGCTTATGACGTGGGAACTGGGAATGCATAATTTGGTAAAACTGTGTGGGGGAGGGAGGGGAGGGGTAAGGGAACGGTTTTTTTGTTTGTTGGAAATTATTAGAATCATTGGTTACGGTGGAATGTCTCTGGAAAGTAAGTCTTAGTTAGTCAAGGTTGTCATCTTGTACAAATTTACAAAATTTGTTAACTGCACGAATAGTTCGAAACCTAACTCAAACCTAAATATATCATGTTTTTTAGAATACATTTTAAAGATATGTTTTTAGAGAACTCAAACCTAAATATATCATGTTTTTTTGAATACATTTTAAAGATATGTTTTTAGAGTATGATTATATGTATATTTCTAATATTTAACCCTCATCTTTCCTCAGTTCGGCCGAGTAACAGCGCAGGCAGTACAAGCAGTGGAGGCCAGTATGTGAGGTTGGAATACGATGTGAACACCGGACATTCAACTAGTCCCCAGTATGCCCTCGATACTCCCTCCGATACACCCTTCCACAACACCATCAGGTTTATTTGAAATTGTAATGAGTAGCTACCTTAGGGCCAATAAATTTGGTTCACAATAAATTTGGTTACCATAATTTTGGTTACCGTAAATTTAGTCACAAATTTCGCAAATTTTTAGTCTACAACAATTTTAGTCACATTTTTCGAGACCATTTTCCATTCCATTTACATTAAGAGCGACAAATATGGTCTACCCCGTCTGAGCATTACAGATTAAGCTGCAATTCATTACTCAGGAATTTCAGATCCAGATTTTTTGACTCTGTATCACTAAGTTCTTCAATACACTGTTCAGTATATCGACATAAACTACGACGTAGTTTATGTCGATATGATCCTTCAGCCGTTTCAACAGAACATGCATTGGGATGGATCGATTAAAAATGTAATGTCCAAGAGGAGCTCTAACCCTATAGTCATATAATATGGTCTACTGAAATTTTGGTATCCTTTAAAATTAGTCGCCGAAAAACTTAGTCTCATGAAATTTGGTTTGCAACAATTTTAGTCAAAACTTTGACTAAATTTATGGTAGACTAAATTTGTCGTTCTTAAGGTATTTGGTTTAGTTGTTGAAACTTGTATTTTTACAGCTTTGTTAAGTTAGGTTATCTAGACATTAGCAGGAGTCTCTTAAGTCCGTGGAGGGTATATTTCGAGGTTCCTGAGCTGACTCTTGTGGTTGAAAATGAAGTTTTCCCATGAAATTTATGGTGCACGTGTGAATTATCTCTTCGAACTTGAGTTAGTTATCGGTTTTATTGATAAGATAATGGGTAATGGGTTCAACCATGTCTTCTTCAATATTGCCATGACCTGGTTTCTGAGACTTGGTAGCCTTGTTTTGTGACTTTTCTAGCAGAACTGTCTACTTTGGAGTGCCCTAATTTTTCGATGCTTCCCCCCCTTCAATTAGGTCTCGATTGTCCTGCTACGATTAAATTATTTAATTGTAAAGTGCCCCTAAAATCTTTGTCTGTAAAATATCCCTACTGAGCGGGAGGTGCCAGATTCCTTGGCTCTGTGTTTCTTCCTTTTCTGTATTATGTGCTGAATTCTTCCCCTTTCACACGTGCAAAGTCGGCAAACAATCGTTATCTCTCACAGCTCGTGATTCAGCAAGTCGGGATTAATTCTATTTTGGATACTGTATTTGTTGATAATTGGAAAATTCAATCGGCAAATTTGATCGTAATAATGTCAATTATACCCATATAATATCTCGTGTCCATGCTGCACGTTAAGTAACTTTCTTTCATATGCCTTCTTTCCTATCTTTAGGAGGTCCTTGGAATGCTGTAGGAATTCCTCTCAATTCCCGGTCATGTCCCAAGGCTCAAATCATTTCCACTTGGAAGCCATTTAAATTAATATCTGCAAATAGGACCGTAGAACTGCCCTGCCCCTAAATTAAGTTTTCAAATTCCATGATCGTGTGCTCTGAAAAGTTTGGTCCCACTCTCATTCCTCATTCAAACTCCCACACCCAGGTTTATGAGCTTATGTTTCTGATGAAATCCAACTTCAAGTCTGTTTAATGGATTATGTTTCAAAACAACTTTAGAACAATCACTGTTCCATGCCCTTCACTGATCCCGTTACAATGAAACAAAATCCATGCAATGTGGTATTGGTCATGTGACCATCTACACAGGCAGAGCTTTTAACCTTTATATATCCTGCATGACAAATGGCTCTTAATGAGCCTTTGGAACAATAAATCCCAGGTTGCTTGATATAATGATACATATCCTGCAGCTCAAATTATTTCACCCTTAGAATATTTTAATTTATTAGCGTCTTCTTGGCTGAAGGGTAACAAGGGCATGGTCGTAAGGTGTGTCTTGAATCATAGCTCACTGCCATTAAGACTTGCTTCTCTCGCAAGGTGGTCACACACAACAAGCATACCGAACATTCCGTTACGTTATCATGGAAGAACCAATAAAATTGTCACTATTAATTGCCTCGTAAATCGTGGTAATATGTCGTATGTGATCCTTACAATATTGTATATAATGTATAATTTGGCGCCTGGCCAGTTGCCAGGTTTTAGTATCGGTTCATTCAATATTCTAATATAAAGGCACTCCACGCACCGTAACCTTATCTTAATTCATCTATCCAAAATTCGAAAATACGTAAAGATCATAACAATTATGAAACTTTAAAATGTAAGATTTAACGGAATTTTATTAATTACAGGGACGATTCCACCCTGGACCCAATCTAACTCCTCTTCTCTTTTCAGTCACCAGAATCAGTACTACGACAGTTACGGTAACTACTACGACCGTCCCCACCCCGGATACCACAAACTGGACTTTCCCGACATTACATCTCAGAGAAACTCTCAAGCTGCTATCAGAGCTGCACCTGTCACGGTACGTGAGGTACTTGCCACACTGGCGATACAACCGCGGAATTTAGAAACTTTGGGGGTAAAATTGAGTTGCAGTTCATTTTGTTCTAGCCCTGTTCATTGCCATATCTGGAAGTGGCAATAAATGTTTAGCACGGTTAACAGAACCTTACGTGCTAATTCTGATCTGTTTAAAGTTTTTGTTGGTTCTTTCAAAACTAACCCCCCATTTGTCCAGATCACCTGGTTGATGGCTAACTACGAAGTTGCTGATGGAGTATCCTTGCCCCGGTGTCTCATGTATTCTCACTACAAGCAGCACTGTCGTGAGCACAAGCTTGAGCCTGTTAACGCTGCCTCCTTCGGCAAGATCATCCGCTCCATCTTCATCAACCTCAAAACCAGGCGTCTTGGAACCAGGTAAATCTACTTCCGTCCGTTTTTTTTCAACTAGCTGCTCAGGATTGGTGCATTTTTTGATAACATCTGTTGATTTTGTCCCCGTATAGTCTAGAAACCAAGGCATTTTATTCGCAGACGAATCATTTCTAATTGTATTACCTATTTATATTGGTACCAAGTTTATCATCTTCCGTTCATTTTCGACTAGCTGCTCAAGATTGGTGCATTTTTCGTTTTACCATCTGTTAATTTTGTCTCCGCATAGTCTAGAAAGAAAGGCATTTTCGTCGACGAAAAATCTTTTTTAATTTTATTATGTCTTGGAACCAAATAAATGAACCTTCGTCCTGTTAACAACTATCTGTCAGAAAACCGGTGCATTTGCCAATTTTAGATATCATCTGTTGCATAATTAATAGATATTGGTATTATCACCGTACCATCGTGGGAGATGGGTATGGCAGCAAAAGCATTTCGTTCGAAGACTAATAATTTCTAATTTGATTACGTTGAACCTTTCACTTTTTCAAATTGGTCTATCAAATTTACCTTCACGTTCGTCCTTTTTTAACTAGCTACTCAGAAACGGAGCATTTGTCAATTTTTGATATCATCTGTTGCATAATTAATAATCGGTACTGTCACGTACCATCGTGGGAGCTGGGTATAGCATTTTCTTCGAAGACGAATTGTTTTAATTTTATTACGTCGTAACGTCGCGTTGGGCCTTTCACTTTTTCAAAATGGTCTATCAAATTTCCCTCACCTTTCGGAGTCTGACTGTTACAAATTGTATATGTTTTTGGGATCACTGGCCTTATTGCATTAATTTTCATAAAAAACGAATTCCTTTGATATTATTTAGTAAATTAGGTAACCTGATAGGACTGGAAACTTTGGCGTTTTACGTATATAATGCGTTTTTACCAGAGCCGCTGGTGATTTGCTAAGTAAAATTCCGATTGAATGAGAATTCCCACGATTTTGAATAATATGCATAAGTTTTAGGCAATATCTTGTTGCAATGTTTGCAAACAATATAAATGGTTAATTAGTTTAGCTATCTCACCTATAATGTCTCGCTAAAACTTTTAATGTTCGCAACAATAATTTAAACCAATTTTCTCTCTCAGAGGTAACTCGAAGTACCATTATTACGGTATTAGGATAAAGAACGATTCCATCCTCAACTCTTACGGCGAAGAATTCTCCCACCCCAACCGTTCCAAACAGTAAGCTCATCATATTTATTTAAAAAATCAGACAATTTTCAGAAGTCTTACAGAATATTGTTTCTTATAAGATGTGATGGTATGAGTTTGAGGTTAACATTTCCGGAAAAGTAATACATGTCATAGCATTTCCAGGATAAGCATTCAACCGAACCAGCCAGAAACGGTAACCTGTACGGAAAACTACGAGAACCACATCAAGTTTATCGGAGTGCCACCCAAAGTTTTCCCCAAATTTCAACCGCTAAAAATCCCGGAGGGAGTCGATCTACCTGGTGAGTACCTTTATCAGGGTCCAGTTTATTGGCTTTGTTTGAAGTACTAGACAAACCCTTTGGTCCACTGATAATCTCATTAACCGGAAACTAGGCACAGGATTCCTCCGAAATGGACACTATATTACGATTTATTGAAAAGTTTCCACGTTTCTAATGGACTCTATAAATTCGAAAGTAGTGTTGATAATTGTCCTAGATTTGCAACGTAACACGCTACCCACCATATTAAATCACTCTTTTCATCTTTGCTGCGTGACCTCCCTCGGTAAAATTTAAAGAGATCCAATAATTCTATCCAAACCAGACTAGAGTGTGCCACGGAGCGACCGTTTCACACAAACTTCAGAAACAGTTCGCATATTATTCATTGTAGTGGATCACTACTCAAGCGTTTTATCATCCTTTTACTCTACGGTGTTACATGGTGTGGTCCTCGCTAAATTCCTCCTGAAAACCCCACAATGGTCATTAATTAGCCGTTAAATACCTTCACACCACGGTCAATCAATCTAGAGAGAGTGAGCGAGAGAGATAGAGAGAGAGAGAGCAGTGGAAATACAGGACATTGAATCAGGGAAATCACACCATCACAACTAGACTGGTGAATAGTCTGCTGGGTCATAAAAACTTTAGATCCCATTTCCCTGGCACCTACTTGTACTGACTCTCATAACACGTAAAAAGTATGTGTTTGGGAAAGATCGCCATGATTTGCTTAAACCAGTGTAATTGCTGCACACTTTAGAAGGATGGTTTTGACCCGTGAACATGTCACTCGTCTATTCATTATCTGTTTAATGCGTCTAAACTAATAATATATCATGACTCATGACTCACGATATTGATTGTTTAAATCTTCTTTAAATAATGGACGCCTTTTCGTGCTGCCACCTTAAGTTTTAATCAAAAATGTACTTTCAGAAGCAATATCGGTGGAGGACGTAGAGCATTTTTCGTCATCGTATCTGAATCACTGCGTGGTAAGTACTTTGCCTTGCTTACTATGAACGTACAATATCGTCATCACGTTAAAATGTTAGCGTGGATTTTTATACCTGCGTTAAAAACAAGATGAGTAATTCATGGCGCGAGTTAAAATTTGTGTATAGATTGGAGCCGCCCTATTGTGATCCAGTGGCGTAACGAAAGGCCCTGCTGACCCCGCTGTGCAGGGGGGCGCCGTCTTAGGGGGGCGCCAAATCGTCGTTTGAATGTGGGACAATTTCGAAAACTTAACTAAAGTACTAGCAAAATTGCGCGTTTTGCTCTAGATACACACTTTTTTAGAGATTTTACCGGCGTATTCTTTAAAATCCCCTAATTTGCTCAATTTTAGGGAGGGGCACCAAAAGGGGAGGGGGCGCCAACAGGGGGGCGCTTTTTCGGCAGGGGGGCGCCAACAGGCAACGTTACGCCACTGTTGTGATCCATTTTCAATGGCTAAATGGGCAGATACGATACTAGGTAGTGATAAATAGACGGATATACATTGTTTTTTGTATGAAAAGTCACGTTGCTATGTACATGATTGGACATAGCAACGCGCGCCAAGGTCTACCGAAAATTTCCCCCGAATTTTTTGGCGTTTTCTAACAAAAGGATCTCATTGTGAGCATTTAGTCTCAAAATTTCTATGGTAACGCGCGCATTGGGTGCGCGTTTTGAATTCATTACGGAGTCTCATATTACACTTCCTCATATTTCGTGTGTGGTATTCTGTATCGATTGTACGGTTTAGTTAGTTATTACTGGGCTGAGTATAGTTCCTGTAAACTGTATCTACTGCTCCTATACAAAGACTACGACAGCACTTCCTTTTTTAAACCGGAAATTAAACGATTTTGTACAAACGAATTGCAATAAACATTGTTATTGTCTTCCAGGGTATAGTGTACGCAGTTGGTCTGCTCAATTTCCCTGAAGTTGAGGGTCTCTGGCAGTCCTTCTGGCAAGGAGTGGGTCTCACTTCTCAAGCTTACAAGAACAAACTCTGTAAAGAATACAGGAAAAGAGACGACACCTCCGGAGATGAGCAAGACGAGATGTAAGTGTTTTACTCTAAATAGTACTTGTCGTTTCATTGAAGATTTAAATTTGAATACTTGGTTGCTGAGCAAGTATCAGTAAAACTTCAAACCCCAGACTAAATTAATACCGGCACAACCGAAAGTTGCCGGAAATATGTTGATTCGAAATTTTAATTTAAGTGTAATTATGTTGTCGCCGATAATGAAAACCCGAAATTAATATGCAACGGTTATTGATTGGTCCAGGGGTTTCTGTTCATTATAACAGTGACTTCATACGAATAATTTTTAATTTTCCACAGTGCCGTATGTGACGATAAACACGTATCAAAAGAGGTTCTCCATCCTATGTGCGAGTTTGTGTGGGTTCAAGAGTGGGTCAAAGTCATTGACTATTCTGTCTATCAAATGCTCATAGATATTGTCATGCCTGATGTCCTTCATCCTATTCCAGGTGACTATTTGGTTAAACGTTTATAATCATTCAGGGCTTTTTGCATTGTTCATAATGAGTTCATAATGAGACACTTGTTCAAGCCCGTTGAAAAATTAATGAAACACAAGTTTCTCGGATAATTTAATGTTTACGTTTTGCAGGTTCCTTGACACAGATGATTCGTAACTTTGCCAAGAATATGGAAACAGTGATGTTACACGCACTTTCCGGATTGCCTGTCAAATTCCTTCAAGCTAAGGTATGGGATAGTACAAATATTGTTAAAACTTAACCGTTGTAATGTTTAACCTTGTTGAAACTTCCCAGTAGGACACAATTTCATCTATACTATAAACTATTCTAAAGTTGAAATAGTTTGATGTCCTAATAACCTAATAACTGTTTCAGTGTGTTGCTGCCAACGCATTCGCGCAGACTCTCCGACGTTACACTTCCTTGAACCACCTTGCACAGGCTGCACGTGCTGTACTGCAAAACTCTCATCAAATCAGTCAGATGTTGGCTGATCTGAACAGAGTAGACTTCACTAACGTCCAGGTAACAGCGCAGAACAACCAGAAATAAACCGTTTCAAACACCCCGTAACAATAAGATAAAGATTGCCCCATAACCAATGGTTATGGGTTATTAAAAATATCTAAGGGTTTATAGTTTCTTTTCGCACATTTTCTCTAAGAGAACAAGTTTAAATAGCTGCTGCCCTTATAATGCTCTCTTCTAGCGCTAAACCCCGTCCCCTTCTAGGAACAAGCATCCTGGGTATGTGGATGTAGTGACGCGGCAGTCGCAGAACTTGAGAAGAGCTTCAAAGGAGCATTGGAGCAGCAACAAGGACTGGAGGGATGGGCTGCCTGGTTAAAGAATGTGGTGGATCAGCGGCTGGCACCGTTCACTAACAAACCCGAGTTCCCCCAACATGCTAAATACTTCCTGCTTAATTGGTCATTCTACTGGTACGTACCGGGCATAACTAGATTGTTTATCCTCCTTATAATTCTGGTATACATTGTATTAATCTATTATAGAAATGATTTTGGAGATGATTTATCTAATTATGACAATTATCTTTATCTTGTCATTTCAAAATCATTTCCCGGATCTGGATCTGCCCTTCACCCAATAAGCTACTGATTTTCTGCTAAGAAACAGAAAACCTCACCCTATGCCCCCTCAGTTCTATGGTGATCAGAGACCTGACGCTTCGCAGCGCCGCTAGTTTCGGCAGTTTCCACCTTATCCGGCTGCTGTACGATGAGTATATGTACTACTTGGTTGAACAGCGGGTTGCCAAGTTCAGGAACACCGATCCAGTTGTGGTGATGGGCGAGGTTTGTTGCTGCTCTAGTTGCTTCTTTTTTGTAGTGTCTAGTGATGGATTACTTTCCGGAGACTTATCAGTGTTGTTTGATGGTTACAATTTTATCATTTCCAGTTGACCGTCGTCTGGTGATTTGTAGTTGAATATTTATATCATCTAATTTTTCTATTTTGCTTTGAATTAATCCAACAAATTATTTCAGTGTATCACTTTGCACCAGACGATGATAAAGAAGTGCGAGGAAGCATCAAAACAAGTCTTCTCTGAACACACTCAGCCCATGGAACCTAGGTAGGAAATTAAGACTATTGAGCTGAAATTTTTCAACACAGTGGTGATGACTGATGACATCGATAGGAAATAAATAACTGACCTTTCTGCGAGAATCTTCTAGTTTTCCATCGATGTAAATGTAATTTCCAACCTATATTTTCTTATTTGAAGCATGACCTGATCTTATTTCTTACCTTAACCCTTAAGATTTAAATATAAATTTGAATCTAATAATTTAAATCCCAGTTCGTTGAGTACGCCTGGAAACTCCTCCTTATACCAGGGAGGCGATGACGGAGATGAAGATGACAGCTTCGACAGTGAGGATGATGACAGTCATCAACTAACTTCCCTCGATACTGGTGAATATTAGCTCATATTTTCATATCAACATCAATTACCCTTCTACTGTTTGTCCCACAGTTAGCTTCGCCATTTTAATGTCATTGATTTCACGTGATTGGGTCTAAAACTAAAAGTTTTAAAACATGAAAATATTGTAGGTTCCAACCTACTGTGCCCTAGATTTGACCGTAAGTGGCTGAACAACGTTAAGCAATTGTCTCATGAATATTATGTTATCTCTTGGTCATATAACGAGGTGTCCTTTTGTTACTCTCACAAAGCTGAATGTTCGTTGTCAACTGCACTAACAAACAAGCGTTGCCATAACAGACACTCTCATAGCTAAGCTGATCAACCCACTTGTCTTGATATATTTGTACGTCATTACACCAAAAGTATCTCTATAATCATTAAAGTAGCTGTTTCAGGTAAAACCATCCCCTACCTAAACAAAGACTCAAAGACTTACAGTAAAACAACTCGTCCTGGTTCCCACGAGCACGTGCAAGTTAAAGTCGAGCCGCGCGATCACTCAAACAGCGCATTCAACTTCGACGAAACGGAAGAGGAACACACAGCAAAGCGGCCTTGTGTTGGCAACAGCATGGGATGAAATGAACATGTCTCAAATCATGTCTCACGCGTTACAGGTCACGCTGTGCTAGGCACGTGACGTCATCAATTGGACTCCATTAATTCAGAGCAAGATCGAGTTGTGTTTCTTTTTAACTTTTGTAAATGTCATTTCGTACCCTCGACGACCGGCCACTCATTCCAGTAAGCTGGACTAATTATAATAATCTGCTAACATACTGTTGGCTTATATTATCTGGTAAATTGAGCTAACTGTAACTACTATCTACTAGCGAAAACGTTAGTTATTTGTTATCCAATTAACAAGTTAAACGGTTAACTTCACTTTGAAATTGATGTTTTGATCGCAAAACCCCGAAATATATTATATGATGTACAGAATATTGCAGAAGCAGAGAAGAAATTTCGCGTACAGTTTTATGAATTCTGGACATTTTTAAGGTATGTAGGTTCGTAACACATGTCAGACATTGATTGTCAAGAACTTTTTATTGTAGTTTATGTAGTCAGCTGTTCAATCTTCTTTTTTTCAACAATCTGTAAGATGTCAGAAGTTATTGCGGATTTTTGTTTGTCGTAAACAAGTTCCTTGTCTATCTGTAACTAACATATTCTTCCGACGGGAAATTATGATAAATCATCTTTTATTTTTGAAAGTAAGATGAGTTTATTAGTCACGTTTATTGCTAAATTATGCTCTACTTAGCATTAAACAACTTTTGGAAGCATAAATTATAATGCGTTTATTAAACGTAACGTAAGAACGCGATTTTGATGAAAATTTTGTTTGGTTATATTGCAATATATCTGAGATGATCTAGTTGCAGTTGTTAACTTACTAATTTTTAGGATAATATATACTATAACACGTGTGTCGATATAATTACACGATAACTACCCACCTTTAGTATCTGCAAGATTTCACTATCAGAGAGAAATAAGCTTTTGATGTGTGAACTTATTGATGAAAAAACAGTTGAATGCATTGTTCGTGTTACGGAGTGATAATTAAGCGTTGGGAAGTTTTTGTAATTTGAATTGTATTGTATACATAACCATTATGTGACTCCTAATTTTTATCTCTGAAATTGTTGTTTTTCTTGTTTAATTATAAAAGACAAACGGGAAAGAAATAAGAATTCAATTCTGGATTGGTTGAAAGATTACTGCTTCATTTGAAACAGAAGTTTGACAGCTATGATCATCACAGCTATGATCATCTGATGATGCTCCTACTAGTACTATATTAATCAACTCCTACCATATGCAATATATCTCAAATTCACGTTTAGACTTGCCATTTATATCAGAAACGCTACTAGGGCCTCCATGCAGCGTCCAATTGATGTCCGTTCAAATTAAGTCCGATAAGGTACTAGTATTCTATTTAATAATAATAGTAGTTCATATTATGTATGCATGTAGATTGTAGAGTGTAGAGTGTAGACCAAGTATATCATTTTTACTCCGGCGGTCAGGAATGACCCTTCTGTCGGGCCGTTCAAACATCAAAAGCGTTAATTTATAATCTAGATAATTACCAAACGAAGCAAGGTTAAACTTAAATTGGTATAGACTTGTCCCGTAGTTCCGTGTGATTGCTACGTATAGACGGATCGGGAGGTTGCGGCTTGTGTGACGGAGTTAACTTAAATTTAATATGATTAAAATTACTACAATTATCTCTGTATATATCTTAGATACGATGACATTAAATCAGAGTCAAATCTTTATTTATAATCCTTCTTACTTTGTCATTTTTATGTGCCAACATAAGATCGAAGATTTCTGACTTATTTGTTATTTAAAAAAAATTTTCTGTTGATATGGTACAAATATTACTATTATTTATAATAAGTATAAATCATTAAGTGGGTGGGCATGATAAAATAATAAATATTGAATTTGAGTTGGCTCAAAATTATAATTTAATCATAACTATTCATGACATCATCCCATGTGACGTTCTGCACTGATCCCAATACAATGACAAATTCTGATAACAGTGTTGGCTCCTTTGACACTTGAGAGGTTAGGTCCAAGCTTTAAGTTCTAAAGATTTGAGTTCCAACGCCAATTCAAATTTGTAACACTAACATCAAACATGTATTAACTTAAACCATACTTAACAGCAGTCCATTATTTTAATATAAATATCTCCGGGATTTCGACGCGGGATCATATTATCACTCAGCCCGGCCCGCTGTTAGATAAACATCTCAAGGTGATATCATCCCGCCCCGGAAATTTGTATAAACCCGGCCCGCTTTTTAGTCGTAACTGATGTTTATCATTCAATTCTCCGACTTACAATAATCAATGATACTGCTGATTAGAACACGATAATAGTAGAACAGTTAGATGCGCGATCACGTGGGCGCGTCACGTGCGTACCACGTGCCACCAATAGCATACGCCGAGTCTATACCACGTGACACGAAAGCGCACCACGTGATATGAAACATCGTAACCGTCCACTTCTTTTACAAGCAAATTCCTGGGAACGTTGCCAAAGCAGCTAATTCTTGGAATTTCTCCAACGCGTGGCGTGAGAAGTTGGCGACTAGCCAGCTACCCTTGTCCGTGCCCTAAAAATAGTATTGTTTTGCTTGCTCTCATTCCAGCTCTTGTTCCTGCTAACGTTCAAGCTATTGCTCCACTATGACAGATCGGTTTGACATTCAGATTGATGAACTGCTTATTTATTTACTATTTTATCACTCTCTTCTAAAGTATAAATCCCTTGTCGAAATCGCCGGAGATAATTATAATCCATAAACACTTCACGCTCAGGGCTAAATAAATGTAATCCCTCAGCTGGCGCTTCGGGATTACATATTAACACAAAACTCGTGCGCTGCGCGCACTCGTATGTGTTTATCAGATCATCCCGCTAGCGCGGGATGATCTGTTATATAAACCCTTTGCGTGGCGGGTTTATGTTATTATAATTTGTAATAAAAACTACCAGTACACGCTATTTCTTAAACTTTTTCGTAATGTAATTGTTGACACACGTTGCAACACCTTTTCGTGCACGGGAGAGGTTCAGGTATATATAACGTGTAGCAAGTCTGGTCAAAGTAGTGTTTCCATTATTAATATTTCACTAGGAAACTTAAGCTGTCTTCCAAGATCAAATAAAACCCCCAATGTCGAACTCAACTCCACTCAGAATACCAAACCCACGACTATCCTTCTTATTACTCCCTCATCACGTTATTTAGTTATAGACGTAACGTAAGCTTCTTCGTTAACAAAAGCTTTTCTGAGGGAAATTTGCATGGTACATTCAGAGTTTTTAGGTTCCCAGACACATTTTGAGGAGGAACGTATTGTCGTATTCTCTTGCTGGAAGTTGTAACGCCTCAATGATGATTTAATATCGACGTTGATGCAGACATCAATGATTTCAGCGGGTATAGGACACAACTCACAAGGGATCTCCAATTTTCTTGCCCTCCGCCCTCCAGTTCTCCACATTGATCATATTTATCAATGTATTAATGTTGTTAATATTAAATAATTATTTGTCCTTTCTATCGGCTTGTTTGATTTAGAAAATTGTCCGATCACTTTACTATTCACTTTATAAATCAGACGTCACTAATCGACAGACGTGAGTCACCGCACCGCACTTTTTTGGTTGGAACTTACACTAAGGTCTAACTCTTAGATGACATATAATTTGCAGGCTCAATGAGCCTATGTCTATGAGTATGAGCTTAGTTCACAATACCTACAACCTAACAACGCTTAATAATTTTGTTTTTCTAGTGGAAATTCCAGTTTCTCTGTTGAAATTATCCTGATAATGTTTCGAAAAGGAATTTACAAACCTATATTCTTGTCTAGGGCCCCAGCTCGCTTGGAAGTAAGTCCCGGTCATGCTTTACAGGTTTATCTCGTCACTCCCTGGCCCTGCAGATAGTTTAAACGTATCTAGATAACCGTCTAACATATTTCTATAAAGACCATATTTTGGCCAACTACTCCAAAATTAAGTCATATGCTGCTTCAAGGTGCACGCTTCGCAAGAAAACTTTATTAAGTCAGACTCACTTCTTTTCATTGAATAGGAGCTACTGTACGTTACCTCTCTTGCTTTGTGAAGTAACGCATAATAGCTCCTATTCTATTCCACGAAAAGAAATATATTTCTATTAGCACAATGGGCACCCGCGTCATTGCATTCATTGTTTAAAATGTGAAGTAACCAGGACACCAGGACACCAGAGCTAAATCTATACAAAAAGGGCAAGTCTTTAAAGAAATGTCCTCACGTCCCATTCATGAGCTGCATTTGGCATTTAGCCTCCAGAGTTAGAGCAAAAGCTTTCCTACCTCGTACAGTAGAATTTCCTTTGTTTCACCGAGAACTAGGAATTGTACCTTGACATCATTTGTTTACGTTAGCAACAAAAAACAATGAAACGTCGCGTGGCGCCCGGTAGGGATTTGAGTTTATAAGGACAATTCTTTAAGTAAAAACTCAGAGCATTTGATATAGAGGCGGAACTGCATTGTAGTTTTACTGTTTATCTGAATCTCCGTGTACGAGCTTAAATATCATAAAAACTTAAACCAGAACCGGCTTCAGTTCCAGTTTGATCCTGTTGACGTGTTTAATACATTGCTTTAGTTGATGCCATGAACATTTCTTAACCACACAAAGTTTGCAATCCATTTATAATGTTTAATCGAATTTACAATGTAAAATTGGCTGAAATTTGTAATTTAATTTTAATCCATCAAATCAAATTTTAAACCGGAATGAACTTTGTGACTGAACTTTGTGACTGAACTAAATTGAGATTTCAAATACTCTATGCGTTTCTTAATAGTGTATTAGATTAATTTAAATATCAAATTAATCTTTAACTTTCTAGGATTAAAGCTCTGATAAGGAATTGTAAGTTTTAATAACTTGTTACGATCCTAGGATGATGAGGGCCTTCCTACTTACTCTTGTTGTGACTTATGTCTTTGCAAGTAGTAGTCAGCTTAGTTCTGCCCTCGTGGGCGTGGAGGTGTTAGTCGAGGATGAACAGAAGGCACAGGATGTCATGGAGAAGGAGGTTGCTGACCATGAGGGTGATGAGGAGAGAGATAACATCTTTCATTACATTGGTTTAGGAGTAAGTGAAATGTTCGAAGCACTGAATAAAGTAACAGATAAAGAAATGGGGTTAAACAACAACACAGAAACAGGCTTCACAGAAGAAGTTTCCGACGAGCTTGTAGCACTTCAAAAAGATATCTGCGAACAGGGTGAACAATGCTCTGAATCTCCTTATATGGGCTGCAAATGTCACGGTCACTTCAACAAACTTGAGAAGGAAACTTGCAGGGGATTCCCATGTAAAGCCGTGCAGCACGTAATTGCCAATTCAGCACAGCTTCTCAGGGACATCAGAGCACAAAAGAGTCTGACTGGCCTCGTTAGTGTTGGCATGAAGTTCGCGGAACCACTCTTGAAGGAGGCTTGCCAGTGTAACCCTTCCCTCATTGACACTGGAATTAACTGTGTCGTGGACTACGACGGTGACCTGATTGACGAGGATGATAAAGAGGGTTATAAGGAAATCATGGGAAGAATTAAGTTTGGTTATTTGAAGACCTTTGCAGAAACTATGTTTGGAGCCTATTGCGGAGATGACAAAGGTGCCTGTCTGGGAAACTTCCAAAAGATTACCGGAGAGTTTGCAGCGATGATGGATAGGTCTTTCGACGATGAGCAAAAAAATAAATGCAACAACTTCAGACGACTCTCTGATGGAATCTGGGAGATGCTCGAATATTTTGATGAAAATGAAACAGGACCCTCTGTGAAACAGGTCTTGAAGAAAGTGTACCAAAAAGTCTTCAAAAACTTCTGGTGCAGTTCGAATAAATGCGCTGCTGGTCACCTTTCTGATCAATTCAACAACGACTGCTGCTTCAGAAACGCAGTGGAAAAGTTCGACAATGATACCGTCAAAGATTTGTGGAAATTCGCACAAAGTGTGGTCAAAGTCATATTTGGAGGAGAATTAGAACTACCCAAGTGTAGCAAGTTCATCCAAAAAATGATCACACGATCAGTCAA